CCCCCGGCCGCGGGCGGGCGCGCGCGCTGACGCGGGCGGCGCCCATAGGCGGAGAGGAGCGCGCGCGCTCCGCCCGCCACCCCCCCTCCCCCGCCCCGCCGGGAGCTCGGGCCTCAGCCCGTCCCGCCGCGCCCGCCCGGGGCCACGAGCGCTCCGGCGGCGGCGCCTACCGGCTCTGCGCGGGCGCCGCGCACAGGCGGGCAGAGGCGGAACGGCCGCCAGAGCGCGCCGGGGAGAGGCGGAGACGGGGAACGGCCGCCGCCGCCGCGAGCGAGGCGAGCCCCGCCCCGTCCGCCCACTCTCCGCTCCCCGCCCGCCGGGACCGTTTCGGCCGCCTTTCCCCGCGCTCCGCGTGCGCGCGCGCCGCTCCCGCGCCGGCCGGGCCGCATGAGCGGCATGAGCGGCTCCGCCTGAGCGCCGCGCGCCGCCACCTCCCCGCTGCCGCCGGGCCCCGGCGGGCGCCGCGTCCCCCCCGCGCCGCCGCCGAGGATGCTGAAGATGAAGCTGCCCCTGAAGCAGACGAGCCACAAGGCAGCGGCGGCGGAAGATGCGACGACGGCGGCGTTGAAGGAGCCCGGCGGTGCCCTGGACTGTCACCTCCCGCTGCAGCAGCAGGTGCCCCGGGCCCGCGGGGGCGCCTCCGCGGCGGCGGCGAGGGGGTGCGGGCTGGAGAGGCCGAGCCGGCTGCACGGCCTGGGGCCGGGGCCTGGGCCCGGCCCGCCGCCCCCCCCCGCCTCGCCGGGCGCTCTGGGCGGCGGCGGTCCCGGCTCGGCGGCCGCCCGCACCGACAAGGAGACGGTGTACGAGTGGTTTGGGTTGGTGCTGGGCTCGGCGCAGCGCCTGGAGTTCATGGTGGGGCTGCTGGACCTGTGCAACCCGCTGGAGCTGCGATTCCTGGGCTCCTGCCTGGAGGACCTGGCCCGCAAGGACTACCACTGCCTCCGCGACTCGGAGGCCAAGGCCAACGGGCTCAGCGACCCCGGGCAGCTCGGCGACTTCCGCGACCCCGCCGTGCGCTCCAAGCTCATCGTCTACCTGGCCCTGCTGGGCTCCGAGAACCGCGAGGCCGCCGGCCGCCTGCACCGCCTCCTGCCCCAGGTGGACTCCATCCTGCAGAGCTGCCCGGCGGCGCGGCGGGCCCCGGCCGAGGAGGAGGAAGATGAGGAGGAGGAGGAGGAGGAGGAGGAGGGGGACGTGGTGGTGGTGATGGACGGAGCCGCGGAGAACGGGCAGGCCGGGCTCCCCGCCGCCCAGGGCCTGGGCTGCGGCGCGCAGGAGGAGCTGCTCCTGCTCTTCACCATGGCCTCGCTGCACCCGGCCTTCTCCTTCCACCAGCGGGTCACCCTGCGGGAACACCTGGAGCGCCTGCGGAGGGCCCTGTGCGGGGACCAGGAGGAGGAGGGGGAGGGCTTCGGCCGCCACCCAGCCCAGGTAACGGCGCGTCCTGCGCCCTTCCTGCTGCGCCATCTCAGCGGGTGGTTTCGTCCTTCCTCCATCGCTGCCTCCCGCTTTCGTAGGAGCGGCTGCTTGCTCTCCCCGAATCCCCCCCATTGGGATGTAGTCCCTTCCGTCCTCCCCCTACCACGGCAGCGTCAGCCCCCACAACCTCCTGCGGAGTGTCTACTACAAATTTCATGGCGGGGGGAAGGGCTGATTTTCCTAGTCTGCCATGCTTTCTGGAACGCTGTTTTTTTTTTTTTTTCTGGAACTCTGCCGTGCTGGAGTGCAGGGTGCACAGTACTGAGCTGGCTGCCTTGTTTGCCTGTAGGTCACTGTACGAAGCAGAAGTACAAGCAACAACTTGACTAGACTTTTAAGAATAGAAATTATAATAATGCTAGATAGAGACCAGATTGCCGAAGAGAGCATTCTCTAGGGGCTTCAAACTAATAGAACAAGTTGAAATATTTTTTTATGGAGTCTATTCCTTGCCCCTCCACAGAATGAGACACAGACTTGAACTTGGCAAGAATCAGGGCAGCAGTTGGGTCACCAGCTCTAAGGCTGGTTCTCTGAAACACCAGGTTCAGTGAGATAGTTGACACATTAGGAAAGGGGTGGTAATGATTCCACTCAAGAAACAAAATGTTACAACTGGAGCTTCTGTGCAGAGAAAAACTGCTTTTTTTCCTGACCACTCAGAGCACTGCTTAATCTTGTAATTGTAGAAGAAAAACTGATTTTTGGGTGGCTGTCAGGAAACAGCAAAGCTCATCCTGAAAGCAGATGTGCCACTTGTTGCTAGGATGTGGCTGTCGCCAGGGATGAGGACTTGCAGTGAGTGACAACGGAAACATTCTCCTGTGCAGTAGCTCTGTTTAAGCAGAGATTTTCCTGCAGTCCCATTCACTGCTGCCCTCTTGATGAGCACGGGCTTTAAAAATTGCCCCATATTTATGCAGCCAAGCTGTCCTCATGGAGCTCTGCAGTTTTTGGTCTATAGAAGGTCTTCTGTGCAAAGGGGAAGGAAGGGCTGGAAGATGGGTGTTTACAGTACTGTTCCAAGGAACCCACCAGGTTTTCATGAGTTACTTGACAGAAAAGAGTACAAAGCAGTAAGGGTTGAGGTTTTGGGATTTTGTTTCTAAGTTTGCTTGCAGTGCAATCCATTTCAGCCACTTGTAAAAAACTTCGACGTTGCCTGCCGTATGAAAGGAATGGCTCATTCTGTTTTCTAAAGATGGGCTATGCTCTTGAGGAGTACTCAGAGGATTTCAAAGTCTTCTGATATTATATTTATTAACTAAATGCTTGTATCATTTAAAGGCCAAAATGCATTTGGCAGATCATAAACTAATGGGCAGATGTTACAGAACTGAAATCACAATGAATTCAGAACATCAGTCCAAAAAGTGTTTATTTTGGCTCATTGGCCGGTATCAAGTCTAGTTCTATCCCAGAACTAATCCTGAAAGTTCGTCTTTCTGGGGAAAAGGCTGAATTGCAGGAAGTGGTAAGACTGGACACTGTCCCTTCTGGGTTTAAAGTGCTAGTAACCGGAAACGTACTTCCTGCCTGGAACTGGCACAGCAATTGTAGCTGCTCAATGTGTCCCACCAAATGCAGTTGGGAGAGCAGGCTCCCGTGAACTACTGGAATTGAAGTCAGTTTTGTGCAGTGTTCTGGCTTCAGCATAAAAGCAGCTGTCCAAGTTGTGGTGGTTTTGTTTACTCGGGGAACACTGAGAGACCCGAGTCAGCTTGGCTGAACATGCACATCACATACCCCGCAGTCGACACAGCAGTGAAACGCTTCCGTAGGCTTTCCTTCCCCTCCCCCCTCTCTTAATGGCTAATTGTAAATACAGCACGGCCTTTCTGGGAAATAATGGCTGACAGGGAACAGAGGGATCAGTGGGTTTCTGCTGAGTATTTTCAGTCAGCGTTGCACGGGGACGGGGCGACCCTCGCAGATAAAACGCTGGAGGAGATGAAGCCAGTAGCACGGTTAAAGGCTTCCCTGGCAAAATGCTGCCGTAGCATTACGCTGAACTTGATTTAAAATCCTGTCGGGTGACCACAGGCCTTTTCTGCTCTTTAATCTCTGAAATTTGAATGCCTTGAGGGCTCTGCGTTTGTGAACTAGAACGGTTCATAAATACCCCTCTGAGATTTTATTCGGCTGGGCTCGTGTCGGAAGGGCTGGGCTCCATCTCCGGGAATAACCCGCTCCGTGCCGGGCAGCCCAAGCAGCTCCGCTCGGGAGCCCCGCGGTGATCGCGGCCAGATGGGAAGTGCTCGGGCAGGCGGTGCCCGGCAGGGGCACCGGGACTTTCTCCTCCCCCGTTGGACGCGCCCGGCCGAGCGCGGCAAGGGCAGAAGGACCGGCGGGAGCAGGGCGCCGCAACCCACGGAGCACCGTGGCGGCCCGGGGAAAGGGGGTGACCCCGCTCTTTGTTGGCGGGCAGGACGGGTGGGTGACGGATCGCCCCCGCCCCGTGCGGGCACAGCCCCGCCGCCCCGCCGCGGGGGCGGAGGGCCGCTCGGCCGGGGCCGCGGTGACGGGGTGGCCTCGCTGCCCGCCCCGTCCGACATGGCGGCGCTGGCTCCCGGTCACGTGCCCCGGGGCGGTGCCGGCCGCGGCAGGGGCGGCGCGGCCGTTGCATAACGGGGCCCGGCCCGGGCAGAGGAGGCGCGGTAGCGCTGCTGTGCGCCGGGGCTCTGCCCTGGCCTTCCGTGCTTAGCGCCCCCGGGCGTTCTCAGCTGCGGGCTTCTCACCCGCCGGAAGGTGGTCGCTGAGCTGTTGTTCGCCGTGTGGGCCGTGAAATACTTACTGATATATTCCCATGGCTGGCAGCAGCCGTGTGAAATCAGCCAGCAAATGAGAGGGAGTTCAGAGCTGGAGTACAATCAGGTGGTCTGCCAGTTCTGGATTCTTTAAGGCAAAGGACTGTGCTGATGCACGTGGCGTGTCTAACAAAATGGCTCTTTTGAGGTTTCGAGGAGCTGTACCACCTAGCTTTAGTGAACACCAAGGCTTGAGAGGTTCACCTGCAAAGAATTTGTGGGTGATTTGCCAGAACATAAAGCAGTTTGCTTTTTCCCATTGTTGGGGTTACGTTTTCTAGTTAGGATCTGTATGATCTGATAAAACTGAGCTCACAATAAAGTTGCTTCATGACGAAGAGTTGAAAAGATTGTTGCTACTTTTAATGTCTTATTTCAATAATTTTGAAAAATGTAACATTTTTTTGTGATATTTTAACAAATTCAGCTCAAAACAGGAATTCAAAAGTGGTAGGAGGTAGGACTGTTGGAGTGGGACAGGCAGAGTTAGGATTACCTTACAGTTGATACATTCGGTGTCTTTGTGAAGTGTTCTGAATTAAGGTTAGGGAGTTTTTATACTTAAAGTAGAAACACTAGATACTATTTTCAAATTCTTAATTGAAGGTGTGGTTTATAACAACATCTTTTGGAAAAAAGTAATTGGTGCGTTAAACTGCAGCATAGCAACTTTGAATCTGAAGTTGAAGTATAAGAATAAATCAGCATTTGCTGCTGAATAAAATAAGTGTTAGTGTGCAAAAATCCTGTTGATACCACTGTATATTGGTTTAAGTAACAGAGCACATAGCTTAATTCTTGCATTGATTATTTTTGTTTGATAAGGGCATTATTATCAAAGCAGTTTGACTTTATTATCTTTCTCCATCCCATCTGATGTCTGGGATCAAAATGCTGAAATACTGAAGAAACTGACTAATCTACGAACATAATAAACGTGGCTTGCATTAGGCACTGGAATATTTAATCAGGCATACTTGACAGGAATAGAACCAAGGTTCTGTTGAAATAAGCAGCCTCCTGGAGATAATGGTTTGTTGACTAGTATTATAATTAGCTGGCTGCAGGATTCTTCACAGAAAAAAGTCTGTACTTACAAACAAAGGGGAAGTTTCTATTTGCAGAGTATTTTTCTTAGTACACTTCCATTTATAGGATATTTTGTGTACAAATTAGAAGAGTGCTTTTATAATTGCTCTTCAGTCACTTGCAGCAGAATAAGGTAGTAGAATTTAATTTTAGAATCTAAGAGTTCTGTCACAGTGCACTGTTTTTAGTGTCATAGAGTTGAGTATAAGGAAAAGAGTACCTTCAGAGTCTGGTTTAAATAAGAGACATAAAGATAAAAAATGTAATTTTGCTCTTGGCAAAGATCTTTTAAATGGTGGTGCACTCTACGGAAATACCAGTGTTTTACAAATTTTGCATACTGAGATGAAAAGTATTCCAGCTGCTTCAGAGACCCTAACAGCCTTGTGTCTGAACGAGAATTTCTCTGTCTCCAAACAGGAGTTAAGAATTTCCAGAAGCATTACTGGAAGTCTTCTGGAAAGGAAGTCATAGCTAGATAAAAACAATGCCTAAAATGAAGGAGTTCTATCTAGATGTGCATGCTGATGTTCCAGGAAATGGCAGAGTAAAAACTTTCAGTGCTTTGAGCTGTTTTAGCTGTTTAATTCTAAACATGAGGCGTTAGTACAAGTTTGTAGCCTTTCCCTGTCCCATTATACCAGAGTTAATCAGCCTCTTTGTTGTCCCTGACAGTTTGTTCTCCAGTGTAGTAAACGAGTACAGAGGGTGTTGAAGGTATACCTGTGACTTCCTAATGCTTGTGCTTTGATTGCTGTAGTTGAGCTGGAGTCCAGTTTTCAGGGTTGCCCAGTGCTGACTTATTTATAGGTAGCAGGATCTCACTGGGCTTGGAGTGCAGAGGACTCTCAGCTTATTCTGAAGAGCTGCAGAAAGGGGTGCAGACAGCAACAGTAAGATGGTTATGTCTGTGAATGCTCTGAAGTCTGTAGGATTCTGCCTGCTTAAAACTGTCATGTGGTTTGTCATTATCAGTCTCTAGCCATAGCTGTCCCAGAAAACACTACAACTGATTCTTCGTTACTGTAATTAAAAGAAAATACCTACTTTTCCTTC